ATTCTACTTTCAGACAACACTCAGCCCCCTTGTTTAACTCCCTTAACATGCTAAACATAATCTCACTCCACATATTTTCTTGTGTCAATTACATTTACAAAACCCTGTTCTTAAACGCAAATCCTGCTCTGAAACTCTCCTTGGACAGATGTAATAGGACCCATTATCACCACACCAGAAATAAATATCTCTTTCATATCCCCAGAGTCAAACATAATCTGTGTAAACACTCTATGCAAATAAAGGGACCCAGTCTATGGAACTCACTCCCTAATGAATTGAAAAGCTGTCCAACTTTTGCGTCATTCAAAAACAAAACTAAAAAGTACCTAATCTCATCTGCATAGTTGTTTTTACCTTGTTGCTTTAAAATTGCACTGTATCCCAATCTCCCTATCTTTATGTACCCAATCCGAACATCTTTACCATCGTGATCATTGCTGTCTTCTTATATGTGCTATCAATCTGCTGTACGGTGTCTGTTAGTCTTGTTTAAATTACCAATCAAGTTGACAATGTAATCAACCAGAGCTTTAATAAACCAATGTGCTTTAATATACTTACTATTCTTTCTCATCTCATTTTTTTTTCTTGCAATGTATCTGTTATCATTTTATTAATTCTGCTAGAATTTATCTACTTAAAATTATCTGTTAGATTAAGGACCTGCCCGAAACCCTGCGCGTACTAGTGGCCTGGTTGATACCTGGTTACCTGGTTGATGGGGTTCTGGGAGTTCGTCTACTCCCCAAGCCCGGCCCGAGGCCAGGCTCGACTTGTGAGAGTTTGGTCCACCAGGCTGTTGCTTGGAGCGGCCCGCAGGCCCACATACCCACCACAGCCCGGTTGGTCCGGCACTCCTTGGAGGAATAAATCTAGTTTCCTCTTGAAAATGTCCACGGTTGTTCCGGCAATATTTCTTATGCTTGCTGGGAGGACGTTGAACAACCGCGGACCTCTGATGTTTATACAGTGTTCTCTGATTGTGCCTATGGCACCTCTGCTCTTCATTGGTTCTATTCTACATTTTCTTCCATGTCGTTCACTCCAGTACGTTGTTATTTTAAAAGATTTACAAGATTGCAAATACTATGCTATGTATTCTCTCTAACCCAATGTACCTTCTTGTATATAAATAAATAAATAAATAAATAAATATATAAATATACATTGACTTGCATTCACTATGTAGTTATATATATATATATATATATATATATATATATATATATATATATATATATATATATATATATATATATATATATATATATATATATATATATATAAATTGTTGCAAGTCGAGCAACAAATATTTTACATTGAACAACAAATGGGATTGGAAAAGCAGTATTGCCACCTCTGCTATACAGAAAAAAATAGACCCCAAACACACCCTGTGGGTAGTAATGGACCCCCATACCGACACTATGAGGGGTAGTGGAGCCCAAAATAACACTATGAGCGGTAGTGGACACTATACAAACACTATGGGCGGTAGTGGACACTATGCAAACACTATGGGCGGTAGTTGACTTCATAGCGACCCTGTGGGCGGTAGTTGACTTCATAGCGACCCTGTGGGCGGCAGTGGACCCCCTACCATTCCAACCCTGTGGGCGGTAGTGGACCCCTACCGACCCTGTGGACGCCCTACCGACCCTGTGGACGGTAGTGTACCCCCTACCGACCCTGTGGGCGGCAGTGGACCCCCTACCAACCCTGTGGGCGGTAGTGGACCCCTACCGACCCTTGGACGGTAGTGGACGCCCTACCGACCCTGTGGGCGGTCGTGGACCCATACCGACCCTGTGGGTGGCAGTGGACCCCATACCGACCCTGTGGGTGGCAGTGGACCCCATACCGACCCTGTGGGCGGTAGTGAACCCCAACCGACCCTGTGGGCGGCAGTGGACCCCCTACCATTCCAACCATGTGGGCGGTAGTGGACCCCTACCGACCCTTGGACGGTAGTGGACGCCCTACCGACCCTGTGGGCGGTCGTGGACCCATACCGACCCTGTGGGCGGCAGTGGACCCCCTACCAACCCTGTGGGCGGTAGTGGACCCCTACCGACCCTTGGACGGTAGTGGACGCCCTACCGACCCTGTGGACGGTAGTGGACCCCCTACCGACCCTGTGGGCGGCAGTGGACCCCCTACCAACCCTGTGGGCGGTAGTGGACCCCTACCGACCCTTGGACGGTAGTGGACGCCCTACCGACCCTGTGGACGGTAGTGGACCCCCTACCGACCCTGTGGGCGGCAGTGGACCCCCTACCAACCCTGTGGGCGGTAGTGGACCCCTACCGACCCTTGGACGGTAGTGGACGCCCTACCGACCCTGTGGGCGGTCGTGGACCCATACCGACCCTGTGGGTGGCAGTGGACCCCATACCGACCCTGTGGGTTGCAGTGGACCCCATACCGACCCTGTGGGCGGTAGTGAACCCCCTACCGAACCTGTGGGCGGCAGTTGACCCCCTACCAACCCTGTGGGCGGTATTGGAGCCCAACCGACCCTGTGGGCGGCAGTGGACTAATCCTGTGGGCGATACTGGACCCTATACTCATCCTGTGGGCGGCAATGGACGCCATACACATCCAGTGGGTGTTATTGGACCCCATACTTATTCTGTGGGTGGTTGGAGCCCCATACCCATCCTGTGGGTGATAGTGGACGCCATACTCATCCTGTGGATGGTATTAAACCCCATACCCATCCTGTGGGTGGTTGTGAGCCCCATACCCATCCTGTGGGTGGTAGTGGACGCCATACAAATCCAGTGGATGGTATTGGACCCCATACCCTTCCTGTGGGTGGAAGTGATCCCCATACCCATCCTGTGGGTGGATGTGACCCCCATACCCATCCTGCGGGTGGTATTGGACCCCTTACCCACCTAACAGGTGGTATTGGACCCTATACCCATCCAATATTTGGTATAGTAGATACCATACCATGCTGTTTGCAGTAGTTTACCCCATAAACATTCCAACGTAACATCGTTTTCTGTTAGCGTTCCTACAAAACATTCTTTAAAGAAGTTTAAAGCACAAACTATGGTATAAAATATTGATTGGTGAAGCACTGTTATTCTATGTAATAATTTATAGTGCTTATTATAATTTACTAAGAACAACTAATATTTCTCAAAACAAAACTACGAGTCTTCAATAGGATATAGTTGATCTGTAATATTATAAGAGCATGGACAATAGAAGGTAAATTTCACAACCCATGTGGGACCTGAAAACTACAATTTTCATTATAATTGAACCAATCACGACTATTCTGCTATCTACGTTTATGGATGGGTACTGTGAGACGTAAATTGGTACGTGAGGAAGAGTTTGGGCCTTGGTAAAAAAGGTAACTGGGAATATATCACATATGTACTAAATCACATTCAACATATTGACTTTAAGCATTAAGTCATATATGTGCTGTCTTGTGTGAGAACGGGTTGCAGCCACTGGCCACACTGTCGCTACTCCAGCAGCCACTGGCCACACTGACGCCACACGAGCAGCCACTGGCCACACTGACGCTACACCAGCAGCCACTGGCCACACTGACGCCACACCAGTAGCCACTGGCCACACTGACGCCACTAGCTGAAGGAGCCAGACGTCATAGCACTAAAAAAAACACCACTTCATCAGTTAACTAAATTAAAATACAGTACCCAGTCCACTGAAAGGCCTAAACAAAGTCTTACCATAAATCTACAGATGATCAAAGACTTTGCGCACCCGGATTCCTTTGACAAAGTTTAAGGGTGCGTCCTGTTGATACCTTAGTTAGGTCAGGGATCCTTGTCAAGATGTTTGTGTTTTACTGATTGAAATTGAAATAAGTTTATTGAGATATAAATACACACAAAGGGATGATTGTTCTATTTCAGGATTCCAGTCATACCATAGGCTTTTAAACTCAACTCAGAAAGTGAAAGCTATTTGGCACTTAATTAAATATAATCAACTACGTTGATAAATAAGTGAAATATATTGCAGTTGTCTACAAATTAATTAAAGTACACATTTTGCAATAGATAAAATTACAATAATAAATGATATAATAACCAATCTTGTTATTGTTTATGATATAATTCATATGTGACAAGATATCATAATTAAAAGGTTAGGTTAAATTAACAGTACATAACCGTATCAGTGCATGCTACATTATACTTATCTTTAATTTTACCATTAGGTAATGAGATTTATTATCCGGCAGGTAAATGAAGGCAACACCATTATTTCCGGGTGTCCCCAAGTGGCAGAACACCTTAATGAACAATGAACCACTTGAAGAACACTGAGCCTATATTTTGTACTGAAGGAGTCAGATAAATCATACATCTTAACATGCACAGAGTTGGTTACAAAACTCTCATTCGGAATATTGTAGTACAGAGTATATAGAATACACTAATACTAAAGCAAAGGAAAAAAATTCGATTGAGTTACCTTACCAAACAAACGCATATATTTTCAACTAGTTCACAGAGCATGTGCATTTTATTGGGTAAGAATATGTTATGATTAATTAGGAAAGCCTAGCTTAGGTTAGGAAATTATCCAGAAGTGCTAAGCCAGCATGGCTATGTAACACTATTTAAGCAACACATTCAAAATTTCCTCAGTATTACTCCGGGTGCCTATATGGAAGCAGGCAATCATACGTGTACAAATGTCGAACGAGTGGGAATTACTGAGGAATTTACCAAAAGACCTGTCATGGTGGGAGGCAAATTTTCCCATGATCATCAAATCGGAACATTCTTCTAGGAAGTGTAGGCTGTAAGTGGAACAATGCAGTTTGAACAGTAAGCAGAAGGGTGTCTGTATATTTACTCTTTGACAATTCCTTCTTCTTGAGGTTATCTTGAGATGATTTCGGGGGCTTAGCGTCCCCGCGGCCCGGTCCTCGACCAGGCCTCCTTTTTGTTACACATCCCCAGGATGCAGCCCGTAGCAGCTGTCTATCTTCCAGCTACCTATTTACTGCTAGGTGAACAGGCGCATCAGGGTGAAAGAAACTCTGTCCATTTGTTTCTGACCCCACCGGGGATCGAACCCGGAACCTCAGGACTACGAATCCCAAGCGCTGTCCACTCAGCCCATTAGGCCCCTACGTCATTTAACATTTATGTCATGACGATGGTTTAGGTCACGTAACATTTTGGGTTGATGAACGTCATATTGAGTTTTTACTATAGAAATGTTAGAACATTTTTTTTTTTTTGCTTAAAATCTCTATACTTATCAGGAAATTTAACCTCTCTCTCTCTGACTATTATTCTCAGATAAAATATTCAAGCTTGTTACTATGCAAATAATATAATTCATTTGGCCTTGATGCGCCATCGCATCAAAAAAGCTTATTTAAAATGTTAAGTTTCAGGCTATTTGAGGGATTTTTCTTCATTAACCCATATTATTTTCTGTTTTCCCTGAGTCCTTCAAGAATTTTAAATGCAAAATGGAGGTGTAAATCTTTATATAAATTTTAGGAACTGATATTAATATCAGAATTTCATAAATTGTAAGTTCTGTAAATCAAAAACAAGTTTTTTTACCTAATGTTTGCGTTTAATAGAATTTCTTTATTATGCACCCCATACCCATCCCGTGGTGGTGGAAAGGGTTACAGAAGCACATAATGCTTCGTTTAGCTAAGCTAGTGACAATCTTGTGAAGCTAGTTACACAATTGAAAATAGTACATACACATGAACATATATCTACATACAGGTACACAAATACATATACATATCAATAACCTTTTTATATCACAAATGATGCAACAAGAGGCTCACAACAGTCACTATACAAGGCACTTTACATCTATGGTGAGTTACACAGTTACTAGTCTTGCTCCACACCCACCCAACTGGGCGGCAGCTTTACAGTCATGTCCAGGCTTCACCTACAGTAAACAAACTTTAGATACTTGGCTAAGATTTCTGGCAGTACATCTTTAAGAATGAAGTACTTACACATTTTTTATGTTTGCAAAGAAGAAACTTATACAATTATTTGCATTACAATATTTTAAGAAAGAATATTGACATACTCCGAGAGGGCCCATTTCTGTATGATCTGGGGTCGTGATCTCTAACTGGGCTTATTCCTTGTTGATAATCTGGGGTCGTCATCTCTAAACAGGGCTTATTCCGTGTTGTCATCTCTGATCATCTTATTCCGTGTCAAGTCATCTCTAACTGGGCTTATTCCGTGTTGATAATCTGGGGATCGTCATCTCTAACAGGGCTTATTCCGTGTTGATAATCTGGGGTCGTCATCTTTAACTGGGCTTATTCCTTGTTGATGATCTGGGGGTCTTCCAAGGGTTGTTTGGGTGGCCGAATCCTCTTGAAGAATCCCACCTGATAAAATGATGCCTTATTTAAATTTTCAGAAAATGTGAAGTAATTACTAAATTATATCTCATCGGACTATGCCTCTAGAGACACACACACACACACACACACACACACACACACACACACACACACACACATACACACACATACACACACACACCTAAACCTAAATTTTTAGGGGGACCTAAATCATGGAGAGATAAATTGGGAATCAAGGAATCCCCATGGAGGGGACGAAACGTGGGGAACAAAATTAGTAGATGTTATAGACAGGAATTTCCTGACACAACATGTGAAGGAAGACACAAGGGAAAGAGGAGGAGATGCACCGAGCCTATTAGACCTGATTTTCACCCAGAACGTAGAAGATATCGAGAATTTAGAGCATGAAATACCTCTAGGGGCCAGTGACCATTGTGTCCTAGTCTTTGACTACATGATGGAATTCAAACTTATGACCATGGGACAAGAGATCTGGGAAAGGAGAGCTGACTACAGGAAAGGGGACTATATGAGGATAAGGGACTATCTGGGTGAAGTGCAGTGGGAGGAAGAAATTAGAGGAAAAACAGTCCAAGATATGATGGACCTAGTCATACAGAAATGCCAGGAGGCCGAAGAGAGATTTATACCAACGGTAAAGGGAAAAAATAAGAAGGAATATAATAACCCATGGTTTAATAGACAGTGTCAGGAAGCAAAAATGGCCAGCAGACGGGAGTGGAGGAAGTACAGAAGACAAGAACAGAGGACAGCAGAAGCAGATACAACAGAGCTAGGAACGATTACATTAACATAAGACGAACATCGGAAAGGGACTATGAGAACGATATTGCAATCAAAGCGAAAAAACAACCCAAGTTACTACACAGTCATATAAGAAGAAAAATGTCGGTGAACGACCAAGTGACAAGACTAAGGAAGACAGAGGGGGCATATACTGAAAGTGACAAGGAAATCTGCGAGGCACTGAATGCCAGTTTCCATGGAGTGTTCACTACCGAGCCTGAGCAGCTCCCATTGTTGGAAGGGGTTACCCTAGATGAAAGACTATCAGATATAGAGGTGACAGCAGAGGAGGTAATGAAACAGTTGACAACTCTAGATGCAACTAAAGCAGTTGGACCAGACAAAATATCACCGTGGATACTAAAAGAAGCAGCACAGGCCCTCAGCGTGCCTCTGGCAATGATCTTTAATGAGTCACTTATGTCAGGAGAATTGCCCAGTTGCTGGAAGAAGGCAAATGTCGTGCCGATCTTCAAGAAAGGAGATAGGGAGGAGGCACTTAACTACAGACCTGTATCACTGACAAGCATCCCCTGTAAAATACTGGAAAGAATAATTAGGCTGCGACTGGTTGCACACCTGGAGAACATTAGGTTTGTGAACAAACATCAACATGGGTTCTGGACAGGGAAATCGTGCCTAACAAACCTTCTGGAATTCTATGATAAAATAACGAGGATAAGACAGGACAGAGATGGTTGGGCAGACTGCATATTTCTGGACTGCCAAAAAGCCTTTGATACAGTACCGCACATGAGACTGCTGTTCAAGCTCGAGAGGCAGGCGGGGGTGGGGGGAAAGGTCCTAGAATGGATAAGGAACTACCTAACAGGAAGGAGCCAAAGAGTTACGGTAAGGGGCGAGAAGTCGGACTGGCGAACAGTAACAAGTGGAGTACCACAAGGATCGGTGCTGGGACCAATTCTATTTCTTGTATATGTTAACGACATGTTTACAGGCGTAGAGTACTACATGTCGATGTTTGCGGATGATGCAAAGTTGATGAGAAGAGTTGTGACAGATGAGGATTGCAGGATCCTCCAAGAGGACCTGAACAGATTGCAGAGATGGTCAGAGAAATGGCTACTAGAATTCAACACGAGCAAATGTAAAGTTATGGAAATGGGACTAGGAGATAGGAGACCAAAGGGACAGTACACAATGAAGGGGAACAGCCTACCTGTAACGACGCGTGAAAGAGACCTGGGGGTGGACGTAACACCTAATCTATCTCCTGAGGCACATATTAATAGGATAACGACAGCAGCGTACTCTACACTGGCAAAAGTTAGAACATCATTCAGAAACCTAAGTAAGGAGGCATTTAGGGCGCTTTACACTGCCTACGTAAGGCCAGTCATAGAGTATGCCGCCTCATCATGGAGTCCCCATCTGAAGAAGCATATAATGAAACTGGAAAAGGTTCAGAGGTTTGCAACGAGACTCGTCCCAGAGCTACGAGGGATGGGGTATGAAGAGCGCCTGAGGGAACTGTGCCTTACGACACTAGAAAGAAGAAGGGAGAGGGGGGACATGATAGGAACGTATAAGATACTCAGAGGAATTGACAGAGTGGACATAGACGAAATGTTCACACAGAATAGTAACAGAACGAGAGGACATGGATGGAAGCTTGAAACTCAGATGAGTCACAGAGATGTTAGGAAGTTTTCTTTTAGCGTGAGAGTAGTGGGGAAATGGAATGCACTTCAGGAACAGGTTGTGGAAGCAAATACTATTCATAATTTTAAAACCAGGTATGATAGGGAAATAGGACAGGAGTCATTGCTGTAAACAACCGATGCTCGAAAGGCGGGATCCAAGAGTCAATGCTCGATCCTGCAGACACAACTAGGTGAGTACACACACACACACACATACACATACACACACACACACACATGCACACACACACACAAACACACACACACACGGAAATGCACCTTACGACACTGGAAGACAGAAGAGTAAGGGGGGACATGATCACAACCTACAAAATCCTCAGGGGAATCAACCGGGTAAACAAGGATGAACTATTCAACACTGGAGGGACGCGAACAAGGGGACACAGGTGGAAGCTGAGTACCCAAATAAGCCACAGAGACATTAGAAAGAACTTTTTCAGTGTCAGAGTAGTTAGCAAATGGAATGCACTAGGAAGTGATGTGGTGGAGGCTGACTCCATACACAGAGTATGTGTATGGAGGAAGGGGCTCAAGGTCAATCACCAGCAGGGACGAGGAGGAGGACAGATTTATAGACAAATTAATAGGGAAATTTGTAGAGAGAAGGAGCGATTGGATGGAGGATCTAATCCAAGGGATAAAAAGCGAGTTATCTCAGCAAATACAGGATGCAGTAGAGGCAGAAACAGGAGCTTATGCTCTATATTCAGGAAAAGATTAGGAAGGGAAGATAGGACTGGGAGAGGGAATGTGCTCGGATCACAAACGAATTAGGAAGGATTAACAGCATGGCTAAGGACAGAGGATTAGTGGGGGATGAATTAGTGAGTGCGGTTGGGATGGGGAATCCGCAGGGGACAGGCTACCAGCATGAGAGTGCATTACTAAAGAGAAGGACCATTATAATACAAGGATGATTCGAATCTGGAGCACCAACAAGACGAGAAAGGATAGAGACGGAAAAATATGAATTGCATGAGATATTGAGATGTATTGGAGCAGGAATTGCAGAACACGAGGTGGATATCAGCCGTCAGGTTGGACCTTACAATTGTACCAAGAATAGACCTGTTCTGGTGCAATTCTCCAATGAGGAGGCTGTGGAGTACATAATGAGGAACAAGCATTTACTGAGAGGAAGTGAAACCCATTACAATGTGTTTATTGAGAAATTAATGACGAAAGATGAGCAAATAGCCCACAAGAATAGATGACAAGCACGACACCATACCCTATCAGGTAGCCTCACCTCCCAGGTCACCTCCCAGGTCACCTCTCAGGTCACCTCCTAGATAACATCCTCCCCAACTCAGCCCTCCTATACCTCCCCCCTGTCTCAGCCCCCCCCAAAACCTCCCTGCCACATCCCCCCAAAACCCCTCCTGCCCCTTCCACATTTGCACTTCCCCAACAACGCCCCTGCCCCTGCTACATCACACCTGTCAACGACCCCAGTGGGTCAAGCCATGCCCTCCCCAAACCCACCTTCCCATCCCCCCTCCCCTACTACCCCCTGCTTCTGCTACCCCATTGCCTTCAATACCATCTGCTCCATCCCAGCTTCCACTGCACCCCTCTTACACTCACCCCCAAACCCCACCCAACCCTCACCCCTCCTATGCACCTCCAGCCAACATTTAACCCCCTCACCTGTGCCCCCCTAACACCTTCCCCCATCTCCCTCTTCCCCCTGGGAAGCCGGCCGGCCGAGCGGACAGCACGCTGTACACGTGATCCTGTGGTCCCGGGTTCGATCCCGGGCGCTGGCAAGAAACGATGGGCAGAGTTTCTTTCACCCTATGCCCCTGTTACCTAGCAGTAAATAGGTACCTGGGAGTTAGTCAGCTGTCACGGGCTGCTTCCTGGGGGTGGAGGCCTGGTCGAGGACCAGGCCGCGGGGACACTAAAGCCCCAAAATCAATTCAAGATAACCTCAAGATAACCTCCCCTCTTCTATCCCAAAACCCCCACCTATCCCCGATTCCCCCCCCCTAACTAATATACCCTGTCTTCCACTCTCAGCACCCATGCGCCATTCTCCTCTCAGCCCTCTGCCCTCAATATCCCTCTCCCCCCCCCCAACCTCTCAACCTCTATCTGACTCTCAGTCTCACTATTTCCCAACCCCCTTATGCCACTCCCTAACTTTAAGACCCATTATGCCCTTCCTACCCCCTAGATTCCCAGACCCCATTCGCCTACTAGGCACTCCCAGGCACCCCCTAGCACCCCCCCAGACACCCCCACAGCCCCCACTCACCCCCCAGACATCCCTTAGTACCCCCCAGACCCCCGGTGAAAGGGGGAACTATGGCACCAGAGTTTCCAAGAAGAGTCTCAAGGTTTGGTACACCAATGCTGATGGATTATCCAATAAAGCAGAAGAGATAAAAGAAAGAGTTAGTGAGGCAGACCCAGACATAGTGGCAATAGTGGAAACTAAAATAAATGGCATGATCTCGGATGCAATCTTTCCAGAGGGGTACCAGGTGATAAGAAAAGAAAGGACACAGAGACAGGGAGGAGGAGTGGCACTCCTAATAAAGCGGAAATGGAAGTTTGATGAGCTGGAAAATCCGGGTACCAATGAAAGCACGAACTCCATACATGGAACTTTGACAGTGGATGGGAAGAAGATTGTAATCTTGATACTCTACAATCCCCCACGAGACAGTAGAAGGCCCAGGCAGGAGTATGAGGACAGCAACAAGGCATGTATAGATGAACTGCAGAGGGCAGCAACTATAGCGCATAGAATGAGACCGAAGCTGCTGGTCATGGGGGACCTAAATCACAGAGAGATATATTGGGAAACGAGGAATTCCCATGGCGGGGAGGAGACCTGGGGAGCGAAGCTGCTAGACGTTACTGACAGGAATTTTCTAACACAGCATGTGAAGGAAGACACTTGGCAAAGAGGAGGAGATACGCCCAGCCTATTAGACCTCATTTTCACCCAGAATGTAGAAGACATTGAGCATTTGGAACATGAGATACCACTAGGAGTCAGTGACCATTGTGTCCTAGTCTTTGACTACATGATGGAGCTTAAAATTGTGACCAAAGGACAAGAGGTCCGAGAAAAGAGACTTGATTACAGGAAAGGGAACTACAGGAGGATAAGGGACTACCTGGGAGAAGTGCAGTGGGAGGAAGAAGTTAAAGAAAAAACAGTGCAAGATATGATGTACCAAGTCATATGGAAATGCAAGGAGGCTGAAGAGAGATTTATTCCAACAGTAAAGGCAAAAAGCAGGAGGGAGTATAATAACCCATGGTTTAATAGACAGTGTCAGGAAGCAAAAGTGAGAAGCAGGAGGGCGTGGAGGAAGTACAGAAGACAGATGTAACAGATGTAGATGTAACAGAGCTAGGAACGATTACATTAACATAAGACGGGTGTTGGAAAGAAATTATGAGAATGATATTGCAATCAAAGCGAAAAAGCAACCTAAATTACTACATAGCCATAGACAAGAGGAGTTGGATTTACAATTCCCGCTAATGACTTTTAGTAGTATTAATTTTACATTCAGCAATTTTTAATTTAGTGCAGTTCAAGTCCTAAGTAGTTCTCATCATAAAACTATCACTGCATTTTTTCCACACTAAATGAGAGACTATCAGATGTGGAAGTGACAACAGAGGAGGTAATGAAACAGCTAACAACACTGGATGAAACTAAAGCAGTTGGATCAGACACAGTATCACCGTGGATACTAAATGAGGCAGCGCAGGCCCTCAGCGTGCCTCTAGCAAGGATCTTTAATGAATCACTTATGAAGGGGAGTTGCCCAGTTGCTTAAAAAAGGCAAATGTGGTACCAATTTTCAAGAAAGGAGATAGGGAAGAGACACTTAACTACAGACCAGTATCACTGACAAGCATCCCCTGTAAAGTACTTGAAAGAGCAGTCAGTTTAAGGCTTGTTTCATAACCGATAAAGCTTCTGTAACTGCTTGCGTTTCAGTCTGAAGAAGATCATCTTCGGTTTGCTGGATAGGTTATATTTAGGTTAGAGTTGATTAGAATGGAGTTGGTGCCCAATCACTGTCCATCCACTGATCTTCGAGAGCGAGGGAAGGAAAACATGTCTTGTAGCAGTAAACCCCTCTTCAAAGCAATCATGAGGAGGATTGAAGGGAATTGGCTCCATGCTAGGTGGTCAGTGAGAGTGCCTTCAGTCCATTGCCATAACTTGTCGATTTCTCGCCATCCTTCTCGAGTTTCATATTAACACTTGTTATCTGTTTGATGCGACTTCCCAAAGAGAGGAAGGGATCTCTTAAGGGATGTCGGGTGACAGGACGTATACAGTAGATAGCAGTGCAGGTCTGAGTCTTTGTAGTACACTCTAGTTTGAAGTCGCCACTCCTAGTCCAGTTAGACACAGGTATCGTGAAAAGGCAATTATACAAATTCTGTATAATTTTTAATTCTGCAGAATGCAGAATTAAATTCAACTGTAAAACCAAGGTACGGATGGACACCATTAGCCCATGATGACCATACAAGATACCCTGCAAGCACAACTAGGTGACCACATACAGTATTTCTTCAATAAAAAATTAGTGAGAAAGATGAATTAATTAGCAAGACAATGTACATGTGGGTACCTCTATACACAGTTTCAAGTGTAAGAATGTTACATAAGAGGGTTGAGAATCATGCAATATACAACCGGCGACTGAAAGGCGAAGCCCAGAGCTGATCCTCACTCAACATGCACGCATAGGTGAGTACACACAGTTACACCCTCAAGCACACATGAGACAATCTGTAAAAGTAGTCGAGGAACAGGAAACAAATGCATCAGAATCGAGAAGTGGAAAAAACATTGAAGAATTCATAGTTTTCAAAGCTCAGGCTCAACCGGGACTTCAGGAATACTCTTGTAAGGTGCAACAACAATGCAAGGGGAGCCTGTATAGATGGTGAGATTTCTCACAAATTACAAACATGAAGTCAGTAAGAAGTGGCATCTGACAAAACCTATTACAGGAAGGTTCGGTTTGTCTTCATATTGCCTAGACTTCTAGAAAGCATCTAGCACTGTCCCACATAAGAGATTTTTTATTTATTATTATTTAGTATTTTTATGTACACGAGTTCTTTCATTCTTGTACAGCCACTAGCATGCATAGCGTTTTGGGCAGGTCTTTAATCCTAATTTTCTCCGAAAAAAGACCCGCCAAATCGTTTAAGAACCAGGTACCCATTCACTGCTGGGTCAACAGAGGCTACAATTAAGGATTGGCGCCCAGTCAATCCTCCCCAGTCTGGATATGAACCCAGGGAAAAACGCTCGCGAAGCGCCGGGCGAGTGTTTTACCACTGCGCCACTGAAACTTTTTCTTAATATTATTTTCTACCACAGACGTGGTCACTTACCAGCACTTACCAGCATATATACATTTTGTTCTGTCCTCCTCCACAGAAGGCTAATGTAACCTACAAACATAAATACACAGATTTACGTCTGTCCTTCATAAACAGTGTTCGAGGTGTCTTTTTACACAGTGTGATTAACGTGTGTTTACAAAGGTGAAATATAATTTAACACAGGGACAGATAGCTCTACAAATTGGAAAACATTGCAGGTGTAACTCAGCTGGAGAGCAGTGGAACACCCAGACAATTCCTTTTATTTGTTGATAGGGACAAATGAATCAAAGTAGCCTAACCTACCAACTAACCTTGTACAGACCAGCTACGAGAGTTGCCAGAAGCAGGAGCCCACCGAGGGATGCCAGAACAAGCACCCAAACAGGGGTGCTGGGTACCTCTTGAGGCAGGGCCAGGAGGGTCCCAAGGACCATAGTCTGCACCAGAAGTGTCCCCGCCACCAGGCTCCTGCTGGGGGACTCCACCTCAGCCCTACACCACGACTCCAGTCTCACAGTGCCACTCATGCCCTGAAAAGGAGGCACTGGTGTGTGTTGGATCTCGTAAGGCTTCAGTGCTCTTAAACTCGAGGTAAGAGGTGCATACCTCGAAAGTGAAGATACATGTGTTGTGTCGCTGCCTGTGGCCACCTTATGAAAATAATCTCAGCCACTTCAAAAATAAACCACCTTAAAGTTTTATTTTGCTGAAATCGATGATTATATTTACTAACGAAATTAATTGGCAATAAAGTTTTAACTTTACTCCCAAAATAAAAAATAAATTAGAAGTTAGAAAGTTCACTAAGTGGCAGCAGGTGACGAGGACTCACCTTGAGGGAGGCAGGTGGAGAGAAGTGAGACAACCTGTCCTCTTAAAAATAACGTCGTCTTTGGCCGTTTGCCCGTATGGCCGAAAGTGGACGTAATTTGAAAATGAAAACAAATAAAATTAAATATGAGATTTTTTTTCAACAACAGTTCGTAAAGGGTCCTGTGATAGGTTAGGTGGGCAGGAAATTCTCATAAAGTTTCAAAACGTTATGAAAAACGTTAATTTAAAGTTTCCTCTCCTAACCTTTCCAAGTAAGCTGGACGACTCAAACAGAGAACGGGACAGTACGTCATTTTCGTGAGCCGATTTCATTTTAAATTACGTCCACTTTTGGCCATAGTGCGCATACGAGCCAAAAGCGATATTATTTTTAAGAGGACGGGTTACAACACACCTTGAGGGCGGCAGGTGGCGAGGACTCACCTTGAGGGCGGCAGGTGGCGAGGACTCACCTTGAGGGCGGCAGGTGGCGAGGACTCACCTTGAGAGCGGCAGGTGGCGAGGACTCACCTTGAGAGCGTCAGGGATGATAACTGCTTCCAGGTGTATGGTGACCTTCCCCTCGCGCCTCACATTGCTCACCTCGCACCTGATAAACACAAGACAAGCTCAGCGTCGTCACTTCTAATCACTACGTGTTTCTAAAGTTGTAGAATGCTCCACAAGTGCTTTCAAACATTCACTCATTTCAAAATTGAAAAAGCTGCAAGCTAGCAATATTGAAAATTTAGAATGCTTCACTATTTTCTTCCAGTCCCCCTTCAACAGTTAACAAGTTTATGGCAGATATTATTGTTCATGGAATATAACATCATTCATGGAAAATATTATCGTTCAAAGAAGATATCTTTATATACAGAACATATCATCGTTTAAGGAACGTGATCATCGGTCATGGAAGATATCATCTGTGACGATGTTAATGCTATCTGTTGACCGTACCTGACCCCATTTACTGTTCCCTGGTGGAAAGCTGTAATCTTACTGACACCTGTGTAGTTTCGTTCTTACTACACAATAATGTTTCCTCAGACGTCATGTGGGGGTACCTAGGACAGCAAAAGGCAGTCCACCAGGAGTGGCCAGCAAGGGCAGTCCTGAATGCAAGACTTGTTTCGGCGGGAACAAGTAGGGCCTGGTCGTCGGAGACAGGGAATTGTCTATGGTAGCCTGCGAGCGATTGGTGATTGGGACGACATATCCCGGGGTGGCCCAGTTGTGTTAATAGAAGGAATTAGCGTCCATCTTTCCTCCAAGTTAAGATTTGTTAGAGGTGAAGCCTTTAGAGGAAGCCAGTGATCGTTAGACACTGATGACACTGTGTAGGACTGGCCCATGAATTGCTGAGGAAGGAGGACTCGCCGTGATAGAAGATCGCAGCAATTTTTTTATGGTATCCTGTGTAAACGTGACACACATACAGTGTTATCTGTGCTGTATACATATAAATATTGCCCGAAACGCATTGCGTAATAGTGGCTTTAGGCATTGTATGTACTAGCTCTATCTATATATCAATCCATTAATGTAACATCACTTGTATGTATATACCTTACCTGAATAAACATCTGAATATATATATATATATATATATATATATATATATATATATATATATATATATATATATATATATATATATATATATATATATATATATATATATATATATATATATATATATATGTCGTACCTAGTAGCCAGAACGCACTTCTCGGCCTACTATTCAAGGCCCGATTTGCCTAATAAGCCAAGTTTTCCTGAATTAATATAGTTTCTCTAATTTTTTTCTTATGAAATGATAAAGCTACCCATTTCATTATGTATGAGGTCAATTTTTTTTATTGGAGTTAAAATTAACGTAGATATATGACCAAACCTAACCAACCCTACCTAACCTAACCTATCTTTATAGGTTAGGTTAGGTTAGGTAGCCGAAAAAGTTAGGTTAGGTTAGGTTAGGTAGGTTAGGTAGTCGAAAAATAATTAATTCATGAAAACTTGGCTTATTAGGCAAATCGGGCCTTGCATAGTAGGCTGAGAAGTGCGTTCTGGCTACTAGGTACGACATATATATATATATATATATATATATATATATATATATATATATATATATATATATATATATATATATATATATATATATATATATATATATATATATATATATATATATGTAATGGGAGTATATAGTTGTACATAAGATTGAAGTACACGTGGAGATGGTTTTGTTTGCGTTGTTTACCCTCCCCCATTCCCATTGGATTGTCTATTACTGCTCAGTTCTTAATAACTTAACACTGACTTGGGGTTGGATCTGATAGGAAGAGACACTAAGGCCATATAGAAAGTTGAATTAAAAGAACCCGGTTACTGGCTAAGTGAGGCCGTAACATCATCCTTCATGGAACATATCATAGTTCACAAAGATGTTATCCTAATATAAGTTGACCTAACCAAACTTAAAGTAAACCAAGCTTGACTTATCCTAATTTTATGTAACCTAATCTAACTTAACCTAAGTTAACTTGACCCAAACTTACTTAATCTATCCTAACTAACCTAATTTATTTTAACCTTGCTTAACCTAAACTAACAGCATATTTCAAACTTAACTTATCCTAAACTTACTTTACCTAAATTAACTTATCCTAAACATACTTAACCCAATCTAACTTTCTCAATTATATTGCTTTACTATAAAAATTAACCAACTTAATGTATTTTACTATTATTTGACAGCAAGTCGAGGTTAACATTTAAACAAAAATAGAAACTGCAAACTTCTGAATTCTCTGAACAAACATAATATTACTGTAATATATCAACGATATTACATGGACAGATATTTCTGTGTCTAGTCTTAAAAATCTTCATCAGAAAATGTGATTATATTCCACCATTTATGAACCTTTTTTCTTAGACCCAATACCAAACTGTATTTCGATAGTCATATTTGAGGTAATATAGATAGGGCAGTTTTGCAAGGATGAAAGACAAACTACAAATGGCCGTATGTTTACACTGCAATCTATATAAATAAAAATGTAAATGTTCGCTTGTTCAAAAACACTAATATCCGAAAGTTCTACACCGATTGCTTTGAAATTTTGACTCAACGTTCTATTCGCACATGAGCGTGTTTTTATATAACTACTATATAGATCTCACGTCTGTGACAGGTAAAAACATGTATTTTTTTAAAAACTGTGTTTTTCAAGTGAGTTTTCATGTGAGGGAAATCTCTGAAACCTCTTTACCAATTGCTTTGAAATTTTGACTATACGTTGCAGTCAAATATGCACATGTTTATATATATATCTACTATATACATGCCACACCTGTGACAGGTAAAAACATTTTTTTTTAAAAAACAGCATCATCTGTTGCACATAAAAGTAACACACGCTTTACTAAATATGTTACGATTCCATTTCAATGTTTCCGATTGCATTGATAAATTGAATTTTCATAGATTTCGATTTATTTTCATTTTGATTTAATTACTTTGTGTGACATTGCATTGGAATTGAGCTGTGTTATTTACCATACCGTTCATTTTGTGAGTATAGTTTATTTTTATACTTTTTCATTGTTTTTCATTTCGTTTTTTTAACTGTTCTTATTTTTCAGTGATGGGAACATCAGATCATTTGGGAACGCATCAGACAAGTAAGTGGGGAATAGTGGGGAGGATGAGAGGATGGGAGTGGGGGATGGTGGGGAGGACGAGGGGATGGGGGAGTGGAGAATGGTGGGGAAGACAAGGGGACAGGGGAGTGGGGAAGATGATGGGACAGGTGAGTGGGGGGATGGTAGGGAGGACAAGAGGGGACGGTGGGGGGGGGGATATTGAGGAGGACGAGGGGACAGGGAAGTAGGGAATGATTGGGAGGACAAGGGAATGGGGGACGGGGGAATGGTCAGGAGGACACGGGGGGCAGGGGAGGGTTACTGTGACTCAGATAGTGAGCGAGAATTTTTTTCTTAGTAAACCAGTTGCAGTCATTTGCCCCATTTCTATCTCAACTGTAGTGCTAGAAGCACTAGTCTGGGTGTGGGGGTGTAGTAGCACTAGTCTGGGTGTGGGGGTGTAGTAGCACTAGTCTGGGTGTGGGGGTGTAGTAGCACTAGTCTGGTGTGGGGGTGTAGTAGCACTAGTCTGGTGTGGGGGGTGTAGTAGCACTAGCCTGGGTGTAGGGGGTGTAGTAGCACTAGTCTGGGTGTGAGGGTGTAGTAGCACTAGTCTGGGTGTGGGGGTGTAGTAGCACTAGTCTGGGTGTGGGGGGCGTAGTAGCACTAGTCTGGGTGTGGGGGTGTAGTAGCACTAGTCTGGGTGTGGGGGTGTAGTAACACTAGTCTGGTGTGGGGGGTGTAGTAGCACTAGTCTGGGTGTGGGGGTGTAGTAGCACTAGTCTGGGTGTGGGAGTGTAGTAGCACTAGTCTGGGTGTGGGGGTGTAGTAGCACTAGTCTGGGTGTGGGAGTGTAGTAGCACTAGTCTGGGTGTGGGGGTGTAGTAGCACTAGTCTGGGTGTGGGGGTGTAGTAGCACTAGTCTGGGTGTGGGGGTGTAGTAACACTAGTCTGGTGTGGGGGTGTAGTAGCACTAGTCTGGGTGTGGGGGTGTAGTAACACTAGTCTGGTGTGGGGGTGTAGTAACACTAGTCTGGTGTGGGGGTGTAGTAACACTAGTCTGGTGTGGGGGTGTAGTAGCACTAGTCTGGATGTGGGGGTGTAGTAACACTAGTCTGGTGTGGGGGTGTAGTAGCACTAGTCTGGGTGTGGGGGTGTAGTAGCACTAGTCTGGTGTGGGGGTGTAGTAGCACTAGTCTGGGTGTGGGGGTGTAGTAACACTAGTCTGGTGTGGGGGTGTAGTAGCACTAGTCTGGGTGTGGGGGTGTAGTAACACTAGTCTGGTGTGGGGGTGTAGTAGCACTAGTCTGGGTGTGGGGGTGTAGTAGCACTAGTCTGGGTGTGGGGGTGTAGTAGCACTAGTCTGGTGTGGGGGATGTAGTAGCACTAGTCTGGGTGTGGGGGTGTAGTAACACTAGTCTGGGTGTGGGGGTGTAGTAGCACTAGTCTGGTGTGGGGGGTGTAGTAGCACTAGTCTGGGTGTGGGGGTGTAGTAGCACTAGTCTGGTGTGGGGGTGTAGTAGCACTAGTCTGGGTGTGGGGGTGTAGTAGCACTAGTCTGGTGTGGGGGTGTAGTAGCACTAGTCTGGTGTGGGGGGTGTAGTAGCACTAGTCTGGTGTGGGGGTGTAGTAGCACTAGTCTGGGTGTGGGGGTGTAGTAGCACTAGTCTGGGTGTGGGGGTGTAGTAGCACTAGTCTGGTGTGGGGGTGTAGTAGCACTAGTCTGGTGTGGGGGTGTAGTAGCACTAGTCTGGTGTGGGGGATGTAGTAGCACTAGTCTGGGTGTGGGGGTGTAGTAGCACTAGTCTGGGTGTGGGGGTGTAGTAGCACTAGTCTGGTGTGGGGGTGTAGTAGCACTAGTCTGGGTGTGGGGGTGTAGTAGCACTAGTCTGGGTGTGGGGGTGTAGTAACACTAGTCTGGTGTGGGGGATGTAGTAGCACTAGTCTGGGTGTGGGGGTGTAGTAGCACTAGTCTGGGTGTGGCGGTGTAGTGGCATTAGTCTGGTGTGGGGGTGTAGTAGCACTAGTCTGGGTGTGGGGGTGTAGTAGCACTAGTCTGGGTGTGAGGAGGGTGTAGTAGCACTAGTCTGAGTGTGGGGGGGTGTTGTAGCACTAGTCTGGGTGTGGGGGTGTAGTAGCACTAGTCTGGATGTGGGGGTGTAGTAGCACTAGTCTGGGTGTGGGGGTGTAGTAGCACTAGTCTGGGTGTGGGGGTGTAGTAGCACTAGTCTGGGTGTGGGGGGTGTAGTAGCACTAGTCTGAGTGTGGGGGTGTAGTAGTACTAGTCTGGGTGTGGGGGTGTAGTAGCACTAGTCTGGGTGTGGGGGTGTAGTAACACTAGTCTAGGTGTGGGAGTGTAGTAGCACTAGTCTGGGTGTGGGGGTGTAGTAGCACTAGTCTGGGTGTGGGGGTGTAGTAGCACTAGTCTGGGTGTGGGGGTGTAGTAGCACTAGTCTGGGTGTGGGGAGGGTGTAGTAGCACTAGTCTGGGTGTGGGGGTGTAGTAGCACTAGTCTGGGTGTGGGGGTGTAGTAGCACTAGTCTGGGTGTGGGGGTGTAGTAGCACTAGTCTGGGTGTGGGGAGGGTGTAGTAGCACTAGTCTGGGTGTGGGGGTGTAGTAGCACTAGTCTGGGTGTGGGGGGTGTAGTAGCACTAGTCTGAGTGTGGGGGTGTAGTAGCACTAGTCTGGGTGTGGGGGGTGTAGTAGCACTAGTCTGGGTGTGGGGGTGTAGTAGCACTAGTCTGGGTGTGGGGGTGTAGTAGCACTAGTCTGGGTGTGGGGGTGTAGTAACACTAGTCTAGGTGTGGGAGTGTAGTAGCACTAGTCTGGGTGTGGGGGTGTAGTAGCACTAGTCTGGGTGTGGGGGTGTAGTAGCACTAGTCTGGGTGTGGGGGTGTAGTAGCACTAGTCTGGGTGTGGGGGTGTAGTAACACTAGTCTGGGTGTGGGAGTGTAGTAGCACTAGTCTGGGTGTGGGGGGTGTAGTAGCACTAGTCTGGGTGTGGGGGTGTAGTAACACTAGTCTGGGTGTGGGAGTGTAGTAGCACTAGTCTGGGTGTGGGGGGTGTAGTAGCACTAGTCTGGTGTGGGGGTGTAGTAGCACTAGTCTGGGTGTGGGAGTGTAGTAGCACTAGTCTGGGTGTGGGGGGTGTAGTAGCACTAGTCTGGTGTGGGGGTGTAGTAGCACTAGTCTGGGTGTGGGGGTGTAGTAGCACTAGTCTGGGTGTGGGGGTGTAGTAGCACTAGTCTGGGTGTGGGGGTGTAGTAGCACTAGTCTGGGTGTGGGGGTGTAGTAACACTAGTCTGGGTGTGGGGGTGTAGTAGCACTAGTCTGGGTGTGGGGGGTAGAGTTGATAGTCCAGGCTGTGGAAATATGCACCAATTGTCGTCGTGACCAAGTGTATTCTTAGTCTCGAAGGTGACCTTATTTTTTTCCATATTCCTCAAAACTGTTTCTGTACAGGTGAGCTCTTTAGTAAAAGTTATTAAAGCCTTAGAATCTATATATGTCATATAACAGGTCTTACATAAACGTCTGGGAAACCTAAACATATGATCTCTTTCGAAAAGTGGCTAACTATCCCTTTGTTAAGATACTTATTACACTTTCATCCACAGGAGGGCTAGGCCTAAGTGGAAAGGATGCTCCGGCATTTCTAATGAGTTCCACACCCCTTTGTAGTTATTACAAAGGTTCATTCCGGATACCAAGGATTGTATAACTCTCTCTCTCTCTCTCTCTCTCTCTCTCTCTCTCTCTCTCTCTCTCTCTCTCTCTCTCTCTCTCTCTCTCTCTCTCTCTCTCTCTCTCTCTCTCTCTCTCTCTCTCTCTCTCTTTCTGTCTCTCTTAAAATGCAGTATTACGAAAAGATTAAAACTGTTAAAAAGTCTACAGAAAACAAATCCCCACTTTTAGACTCAAAATCGAAGTGGGGGGCGGTTACGGTCGGAGCTGATAGTTCTTAAACAGTTCGAATGTGATCGATTCCCGATTACGACTTCACCATGACAGTCACACACCCCATCAGTGTCATCTTGAAAAGTTTTGTGAAGCTAGAGCCAATCACTTCAACAACACAGAGAGTAAATAAATGTTTAGTAAACAGGAACAGGTATTCAGCGAACTAAACAGCCTTATAGCTCACGCATGCAACAATCTTAAGTAACAAATGAAAAGGTAAATATATCATTATAATAGCATATATATCTGTAAATAACATTGTAATTATCATTATTATTAGTAGTAGTAATTAGCATTATTAGTGTCTTAATTCCAATATTGTTATGCAACGTATTATAACTACACAGCTGGCACTATTACCTGTACAAGGAGCACTCAAAGCTATGGCAAGAGACGACCGGGCCGTCAGTGTCGCCCTCAGGAGGCCCCAGGCTGGTTCCTGATGGTGACTGGAGGAGAGTGTGACACTGGTAGGTCGCTCCTGGCGGCACCGTCAGCGTCGGCGCCCCCTTCAGGCGGGAGAATGGTGCCTCAGCCGTCCGGTTTCTCACAGGCCAATAAATATCGACCTAAAAGAGGGGGATGTTGTAGAATCATGAGCCTGAAGGAGGTATTGAATGGTACACGACATGGAAAGAGTACAGGACCTGCAGCAAGCGCTGCTGTTCGTTGTTTAAAAGTTCTCTAACTTTTCTCTGCACGATTCGCAACACAGAACACGAACACCAGGTTTTGGACAGGAGCGAGCGGCCTCGCACCACTTACCACCCTTCCCTTGCTTCCACATCGTGTCTGATGTACACTTAAAGCTTTAAAACATAGATATAGCACGCCTTACTAACAGAAAAATTGGTTTATTGTACATTGAACCGGTGGAAAAAAATCAACTGTAACACCGTGGTTAATCATCCGGGATGTATATCTCAAGCTTTGTCAGGGTTACAAGTTCGCTCAAGCAGCTACATAGCACAGCTTCAGCACAGAAATGATTACTGGAATTATGACCAAGGATACAAGACTATAAGCAGAGATCTCCTCCCCTCTTAACTGTGAGCGCCCCCCTCCCTGTTCAGTCCGTTGACGCCGTGAGGAGGGCTTAGTGGGCGGCTGCCGGAGTGTGATGCTCCTTGGGACTCTGTCCCAAGGGGACAGAGTCCCCCATAAAAGAACTCTTTCCTTTTCTAGCCTTGTGCTCCTGCTGCCGTCCTCTCCAATTGTGCTGAGTATCTTTTCCTTTTCCTTCTGTTTCGTTTTTCTCCCTCCTCTTCTCCTATCTGCTTGTCGTTTCCTGCCGACCTTTTGCTTGTTTTGGTTCTTTCTTTGGACTTCTTCTATTTTGACGCCCGGGTGCTTGAGGAGGCATACTCTTGCACCCGTAGAACTGTTGTACCCGACGTCTCGAGCGAGGGGAACCTTTTATTGTCAATCCCCCTTTCGTCACTGAACCCGATCTCGACGGACTGTCGGTTCTTAAGGTGGCGTTTGTGGGGCGTATACTCACGACGCACCCTTAGGAGGCCCTGGCATGATCGGCGATAGCTTCTTGTTGGGTGTCCTGCCTCTAATTGTGGCTCCATGGTGGGTGTGGGGGCACATTCGTGAATGAATGTTGATTTTTCGTAGCAATGATATCTACTGTTTCTCCTTTACCTTTTCAGGTTCGTGGGGTGGGCGACCAAGCCCCCGAGTCGGTCGTGTTGGAAGACCTGGCTCTGTAGCCTCCGCTGCATTGGGTCCCGACCTTGCGCCTCAATTGGCCTCTCTGACTCCTCCCCTCAGCTCCCCTCCCTCCTCTGTGGTTGTGTCGAGCCCCAAGCCCCCAGTGGTGACTACCTCGTCCCCTGCCACGGCTCCATCTCTAGTTGTAACTACTGCGCCTTTTAACCCCTCTCTCTCTGGGGGTTCTAACCGCTGTCTTCATCATGGCCGCCCTTTCTCGATTCCTTCCCGTTCTGATACCTATCAAGCTTTGTTTGGTCCCGCTTCGTGGGCCAAATATTTTGATCTCCTCCCTCTTGATTCTGTGCCTCCTGACGATTTCTTCCTCCATAGACATCTCGTTGATTCCGTGGATGCCTCTGTTACTTTCAACCTCACTCGTCTCGGTACACGTGTCATTGCTGCTCCTTCTCAGGATGCAGCTTCCCGCTTGGCTGCATTATCCTGCCTTGGAGAGACCCCTATTCGGGTCTCAAAGAACGTTCAGTTGAACGCCAGTGTTGGCACTATTCTCATCCCGCCCCATGTTGCGACCGGTGTTCGGGATCTGCGAGACTGCCACGACGATATTCGACATATCCTTGATGCCCAGGGCCATTCTATTCTCCAGGTGGACACGTTTACTCGTCCCCCCTCGTGGTAGTCGCCGTCAACCCCTTCGGGTTGTGAAGATTACCTTTGATGGTCGGATCCTTCCACCCTCTGTCATTCTTGCTGGTGCTAGGTGCTCTGTCCAGGAGTACATTCCTTCTCCTAGGCTCTGTAACAAGTGCTGGAGGTTTGGGCATGGTGCCCTCCGCTGCTCTGTGACTGTCTCTCTCTGTCCTTTGTGTGGTGGCGAAGGTCACTCTAAGTCAGAGTGCACTTCTCCCCGAGCTCGTTGCCTCAACTGCGGTGAGGCCCATCCTACCTTCTCCCGTGCGTGTGTCCATTACAAGCTTGAGGCAGCCGTCCTCAACTTGAAGCACTGGGAGCGTTTATCTTTTCCTGAGGCGAGGCGCCAGGGCTCCCGCCTTATGCTAATTTCTCTTATGCTCGTGTGTTGCACTCTTCTTCTCCTCATTCTTCCCACCTTCCTCAGACTCGCAACCGTTTCCGGGCCTTGGACCCTGATACGCCCACTGCCCCCTCCTCTGTCCCTTTGAGTTCTGTCCCGAAGGATCCACCTCCTGGTCCTCTGTCTGGGGTTCCCCTCCTTTCTATCCGGTCTGTCTTGTCTCCTGTGTCTTCTTCCTCCTTCCCATCCTTCCCCTCCGTCTCTTGACTCTCCCCACCGCCTGTCGGTGCGGGCTGATGTCCATCGCTCTCCAAACGGTCGTCGCGTGTGCTCTTGTTTGGCTTCTCCTGTTGAGACGCTAGAATCCGTTGCCCAATACGTAGTTGCTGGGACGCCTGTCTCTTTACGTCAGAAGCGTAAGCCTGGCTCCTCTCCTTCCTCCTTCCCGGCAGGTAAGAAGATTTCGCTTTCCTCATCGGCCCCTACTTCTGCCTCTATCGCTCCTTCCCCTCCCATTTCGGTGATTGCGCCCCCTGTTCCTGCTATGGAGGTTTCTTTGGCCCCCGCTTCCCTCTCGGTTGCTGCCCTAGCTGAGGTGCGCTCCCCTCTTTCTACCCTCCCTCTTCTTGCTGCTGTCCTTGACTACTCCTCTCCATTGTCTCCTCCTCTTCCTCCTCCTCCGGACCCCCCCCCCCCCTCTGGTCTGTTCTCCCGCTTCCTTTCCTCCATCTTTGCTCAGTTTACCTATGCCCCCTAACCCTGACTTTACTGACCCTGATCCCGACCCTGATATTCTTTAACGTGCTATATTGCTCTTTCGCCTTTGTTTCTTCTTTGTTCTCTGTTGTTATCCTTTCTCTTCTCGTCGATGTCTATTCTTCAATGGAACGTTCGAGGTTATTACGCCAATTTCCTCGAACTCCAACTTCTGATTTCGCGGTTTTCGCCCCTATGAAGACGAAAGAAGACTCGCTATCACTTCAAGTTGATCTAAATAGGGTTTTAGAATGGTCAAAAGATTGGCAGATGCAGTTTAATGCTGATAAATGTAGAGTTTTGAGGCTGGGTAATGATGATAGAGTTACAAGATACGAGCTAGATGGTGTTGAGATTGAGAAGTCGTATTGCGAAAGGGATCTGGGAGTTATGATTAGTAAGAATTTAAAACAAAAGGATCAATGCATGAATGTTCGTAATAAGGCGAATAGGACACTGGGATTTATTAATCGAAGCGTCAGTAACAAGACACCTGGTGTGGTTCTTAAGCTATATCTTGCTCTGGTTAGGCCCCATTTAGATTATGCAGTTCAGTTTTGGTCGCCGTATTATAGAATGGATATAAATTCACTTGAATGTGTCCAACGTAGGATGACTAAGTCCAAGTGTCCGATTTGCCTTATTACGAACATTTATGCATTGATCCTTTTGTTTTAAATTCTTACTAATCATAACTCCCAGATCCCTTTCGCAATCCGACTTCGCAATCACAACACCATCTAGTTCGTATCTTGTAACTCTATCATCATTACCTAACCTCAGAACTTTACATTTATCAGCATTAAACTGCATCTGCCAATCCTTTGACCATTTCAAAACCCTATCTAGATCAACTTGAAGTGATAGTGAGTCCTCCTCCGAATTAATTTCCCTACCGATTTTCGTATCATCGGCAAATTTGCAAATGTTGCTACTCAAACCTGAATCAAAATCATTTATATATATTATAAACAACAGAGGTCCCAGGACAGAGCCTTGAGGCACTCCACTTACAACATTTTCCCACTCTGACTTGATTCCATTTATACTAACTCTCTGTTTCCTTTGGTATAGCCATGCCCTAATCCAGCTTAATATAGCACCCCCAATACCATGAGACTCTATTTTTTTAATCAGTCTTTCATGTGGCACTGTATCAAAAGCTTTGCTAAAGTCAAGGTATACAACATCGCAATCCTTACCACTATCAACTGCCTCAACAATGCTAGAATAAAAAGATAACAAATTTGTTAAACATGAACGGCCATTTATAAAACCATGTTGCGACTCAATATTAATTTATGTTTTTCAAGATGAAGACGAATTTTATTTGCTATTATAGATTCGAGTAACTTTCCCACAATAGACGTTAGGCTAATTGGTCGATAGTTAGACGCAAGTGATCTATCTCCTTTCTTAAAAACTGGTATCACATTAGCAACTTTCCAAAACTCTGGCACTCTGCCTGACTCTATTGATTTATTAAATATGGTTGACAGTGGGTCACAAAGCTCCTCTTTGCATTCTTTAAGCACCCTGGCAAACACTTCATCCGGCCCTGGGGATTTGTTTGGTTTGAGTTTTACTATTTGTTTAAGAACATCCTCCCTGGTAACTGCTAAACTCGTCAACCTGTCCTCGTCCCCACCCACATAGACTTGTTCGGCTGAAGGCATATTGTTAAGTTCCTCTTTAGTAAATACAGATACAAAATATTTATTAAAAATACTACTCATCTCTTCATCACTATCTGTTATTTGACCTGTCTCAGTTTTTAATGGACCTATCCTTTCCCTAGTCTTAGTACGATATAACTGAAAAAACCCTTTAGGATTTGTCTTTGCTTGCCCTGCTATGCGAACTTCATAGTTTCTTTTTGCTTTCCTTATCTCTTTTTAACATTTCTAACCAGTTGTACGAATTCCTGTTCTAAAGTGACCTCCCATTTTTAATCCTTTTGTACCAAGCTCTCTTTTTACCTATAAGGTTCTTCAAATTCTTTGTTATCCACTTTGGGTCATTAGTATACGATCTATTCAATTTGTATGGTATACTACGTTCCTGTGCTTTGTTTAGAATATTCTTAAATAAGTTATA